GGTCGGCGTGCTACGGCGGCGAACGGCCGCGGTCTCCGGCGGCGTGGAGGGGAGCGGTGAGGCGAATCAGCGCCGGCGGGCGGTCGGCGGCAGGCGGCAAAACACGGACGGCGGCGGGGACGTGAGCCGGGCGGCGACACGGTGCGGGCGGTAGGGGCCGGGGGCGGGCCCGAGCGGGCCATGGTGGGGCACGGGCGGCGCTGCCATGTGGCATCAACTGATTGGTCGGGCGGCGGCGGGCGGACGTGTCCGGCCTGATCCGGACACGTTCGGCGACGGGAGGAGGAAGAGGCTAGGGTTAGGGGTGGTTTTTGCCCGAAATTTCGGGGGAGAGGTGGTTTATATAGGTAGAGGGAGCTAGGAGAGTCCAAATGAGGTGTGGTTTTCGGCCACGCGATCGTGATCGAACGACCGAGAGGATGGAGGGGGTTTAGGTGGGTTTTGTGCCACTTTGGAGGGGTGTTGGGCTGCAACACACACGAGGCCTTTACGATTCCTCAGTTAACCGTTGGAGTATCAAACGGACTCCAAATGGCACAAAACTTGACAGGCGGTCTACCGGTAGTGAACCAAGGCCGCTTGGCAAGTCTCGGTCCAATCCGAGAACGTTTAACACCCTCACATGAAAAGAGGCAAAATGGGACGCCGGAGGACATAGGAGTGCCGGAATGCAAAATGGACAACGGGGAAAATGCTCGGATGCATGAGACGAACATGTATGCAAATGCGATGCACATGATGACATGATATGAGATGCATGACATAGACAAAATGCAAAATGAAGACAAAACCCAACCATGAGGGAATATCATAACTTAGTGCCGAAAATGGCAAGAGTTGCAATACAAATATGGCAAGTTACATACAGGGCGTTACACTTATTTTCTCTATCATATCTCACTTCCGTAAGTGACCGTGAAAGGATTGACAACCCCTTTTTCGCGTTGTTGTGAGGTTCTTGTTTGTTTGTGCAGGTACTAGGGACTTGCGTGTTACCTTCTACTGGATTGATACCTTGGTTCTCAAAACTGAGGGAAATACTTATGCTAGTTTGTTGCATCACCCTTTCCTCTTCAAGGGAAAACCAACGCAACCTAAAGAGGTAGCAAGAAGGATTTCTGGTGCCGTTGCTGGGGAGGTTTACACCAAGTCAAGTCAAGATTTGATCTCCCGCCAACGTGCGGATTTCTGGCGCCGTTGCCGGGGAGATCTACGCACAAGTCAAGACATACCAAGTACCCATCACAAACTCTTATCCCTTGCATTACATTATTTGCCATTTACCTCTCGTTTTCCTCTCCCCCACTTCACCCTTGTCGTTTTATTCGCCCTCTTTTCCGTTCGCCTCTTTTCCGTTCGCCTCTTTTTGCTTGCTTCTTGTGTGCTTGTGTGTTGGATTGTTTGTCACGATGGCTCAAGATAATACTAAATTGTGTGACTTTTCCAATACCAACAATAATGATTTTATTAGCACTTTGGTTGCTTCTCTTACCGATGCTGACTCTTGTGAAATTAATACTACTTCGCTGAATCTTGTCATGAAAGATCCGTGTTCTGGCTTTCCTAGTGAAGATGCCGCTACCCATCTAAACAACTTTGTTGTTTTGTGTGATATGCAAAAGAAGAAAGATTGGATAATGATATTGTTAAATTGAAGCTATTTCCATTTTCATGCTAAAACTTGGTTTTCATCTTTGCCTAAAAATAGTATTGATTCATGGAATAAGTGCAAAGATGCTTCTATCTCTAAGTATTTTCCTCCCGCTAAGATCATCTCTCTTAGAAATGATATTATGAATTTTAAACAACTTGATCATGAGCATGTTGCACAAGCTTGGGAGAGGATGAAATTAATGATACGTAATTGCCCTACTCATGGATTAAATTTATGGATGATCATACAAAAATTTTATGCTAGATTGAATTTTTCTTCTAGAAATCTTTTAGATTCGGCCGTGGGAGGCACTTTTATGGAAATCACTTTAGGAGAATCTACTAAACTCCTAGATAATATTATGGTTAATTATTCTCAATGGTACACCGAAAGATCTACTAGTAAAAAGGTTCATGCTATAGAAGAAATTAATGTTTTGAGTGGAAAGATGGATGAACTTATGAAATTGTTTGCTAATAAGAGTGTTTCTTCTGATCCTAATGATATACCTTTGTCTACTTTGATTGAGAATAATAATGAATCTATGGATGTGATTTTTGTTGGTAGGAACAATTTTGGTAACAACGCGTATAGAGGAAACTTTAATCCTAGGCCATTTCCTAGTAATTCCTCTAATAATTATGGTAACTCCTACAACAACTCTTATGGAAATTTTAATAATATGCCCTCTGATTTTGAGACTAGTGTTAAAGAATTTATGATTTCGCAAAAGAATTCCAATGCTTTGCTTGAAGAAAAATTGCCTAAGATTGATGAGTTGGCTAGGAACGTGGATATAATTTCTCTTGATGTTGATTCTTTGAAACTTAGATCCTTTCCACCTAAGCATGATATCAATGAGTCTCTCAAAGCCATGATAATTTCCATTGATGAGTGCAAAGAAAGAACCGCTAGGATGCGTGCTAAAAAAGATTGCTTTATGAAAGCGTGTTCTTCTAGTTTTCATGATAATAAGGATGAAGATCTAAAAGTGATTGATGTGTCTCCTATTAAATCTTTGTTTTGCAATATGAATCTTGATAATGATGGGACTGGAGATGAGCCAACTTTAGTTAAAAGGTGTCCCAATGATTCGGAGTTTTTAGATCTTGATGCAAAAATTGCTAAAAGTGGGATTGAAGAGGTCAAAACTTTGCATAGCAATGAACCCACTATTTTGGATTTCAAGGGATTTAATTATGATAATTGCTCTTTGATAGATTATATTTCCTTGTTGCAAACCGTGCTACATTCTCCTCATGCTTATGATCAAAATAAAGATTTTACCAAACATATCGTTGATGCTTTAATGCAATCTTATGAAGAAAAGCTTGAATTAGAAGTTTCTATCCCTAGAAAACTTTATGTTGAGTGGGAACCTACTATTAAAAGTAAAATTAGAGATCATGAATGATATGCTTTTATGTGATTTGGGTGCTAGTGTTTCCACGATTCAAAAAACTTTGTGTGATCTGTTGGTTTTCCGTGAATTTGATGATTGTTCTTTAAATTTGCATCTTGTGGATTCCACTATTAAGAAACCTATGGGAAGGAGTAATGATGTTCTTATTGTTGCAAATAGGAATTATGTGCCCGTAGATTTCATTGTTCTTGATATAGATTGCAATCCTACTTGTCCTATTATTCTTGGTAGACCTTTCCTCAGAACGATTGGTGCAATTATTGATATGAAAGAAGGAAATATGTGACGCCCCAAGACCGGAGCTTCAGATGCCTTCCAAGGTTTCCGAGATTCGTTGTGTGATTTGTTTTTGCTTGTTGCATTCATCATTGCATCATGTCATCATGCAACCCATTTTAAAACTCAACTAAATAAATTGCATGGATCTTTGGTCCATTTAAACCGAGGGAAGTCACATGGTGATTCTCTTTACAACATACCATCCCAATATTAGGGAGCTATAATAAATATTCCATTCTTTTGGAATTAACCATAACCCACGTGCAAAATAATTCCCATGCCTATTCCTCTTCGAGTTTGACCTTCAAATCTTGTCCACAATTCTTTATCTCTTTTATCTAGGCTCCTCTAAAAAACCGAACATTTTTGGACCTTCCCAAAACTCACTTACTATTCAAATCATTTGAATTTAAATCAAATGAGTTTGAATTTAATCTTTCAATCGCGGCCATTTCTATTTTCACAGAATGAGCACATTTTTGCGAGTCTGGGGAAATTATCCCCATGCCAAAATTCCATCCCTAACCCTCTCTTTATATTTTTCTTATTCTATCTATTTTATTTTCTTTTATTGGATAATAGAAGAGAGTGAGAGAGAGAAGAGAGTCTGCAGCCCAGCCGACCAGGCCTATGGCCTTTTCCATCTCCACCAGTGCGGCCCAAGGCCAAGGCCCATCCGCCCGTTGGCTAAACCTAGCCCGACTGTTTCCCCAATCCCAATCGCGCACCCCTTCTCTCGTTCCCTCCTCCTCCCGTTCGTTTCCTCAGCGCCGCCACCACACACACAATGCACCAGAGAGGAGCGCACGCCCGCGCCTCCCGATCTGTGGCCCTCCTCCCTCTGCTGCCTGGATCCCGCGCCGGCCCCTCCTTCCATCGCGCCTCGACCCGATCCCCTCCTGCCGCGAGCACCCGTCTCCGACGCCCGCGCCCGATCTCCCTCCGGCAGCCACGTCCAGCGCCGGCCCTGCCGCCGAGCGACGCTCGCTCTTCGGTCCGACGTCCCGTGCTGTCCCTGTCGCCAATGTCCATCCTGTCGCCGGAGCCCGACGCCTCTACCTCTCCTATGCTCCCGCCTGCTTCGCCTCCCCATGCTCCAGTTGCGCCGACGTCCGGAGCTCCAAGTCCTCCGCCTCCGTTGTTCGCCCCAAGATCCGGCATGGTCATGGCCAGACCCAACTCCGGTGCCCCATCCCCATCGGTGCTGACCTCCCCCGCAGGAGCAGCGTCGTCGCTACACTGCTTCTGTGTTGTTCGCCAAGTCCCGCAGGAGGCCGTGCGAGCCCGCGTTGACCACGTCGGTGTGGGTCCCTTTCGCCAGCAGCCGTACGTCACACATACCTCAAGTCCCAGCGGCCTCGTTCGCCTTTGCGCTAACCCTGCTCCAGAACCTCCAAGACCATCCAGGATTCGTCAAGAACCTGTTCGAGTATGACTACCACCGATACCCCGAGGACACCGAATATGACTACATAGGATGATGCATCAAGTTCCACGGCTGTCTACATGGAAGTACCACTACCGTCACCAAGACCAAGATGGCACCAAAAGTACCAAGACGAACGGGAACGACTACCGGGGTCCCTCCAAGTTCGACCAAGATTGCCGTGTATAACTACTGTTGACTCGGATTACGCCAAGTACACCGTCCGCCTTGGTTTCGCCAAGACCACCTCAAGTACGACTACACGACCGGAACACAAGTTCCTTGTACCACTATCGTCACAAAAACCGAGTCCGGCAAGTCCGAAGACCCTAGTTGCCCCGTGTAACGCAAGCATCAAGTTCCTCTACCGATGACTCGAACGGCTACGAAATGTGTACCACTACCGTCGCCCGAACGTCTACGGAACATGTACCACGACCATCGCTGAAGACCTCGTGGACGTCAAGTTCCGCGTCGTGACCTCGAACATCTACGGACATGAACCACTACTTCCCTCGACGACCCGTGTACTACTACTTCCTCTACTTCCCTCTACGAACTCGTTCCGTCCCGAAAACGCACGCTTCAAAGGTATAATGTCGAGACGACCACCGTGGACGAATGTTGTGTGATACGAGTTGAACCCCGTGTTTGCACCGTGCCTGTTTGTTTCGTGCACGACCCTCGGTTGCCATTCCACCGACACATGGGACACCCGGTAACCGGGATCACCCCACCTTCTCTTGCGTGTTCCACGCATCCGCACATTCCTTTTTTTACATCGGTATCTCAATTGAGATACCGGAACCGGAACGTTGTCGTGGCACCATTTTCGTTATCGTCGTCATGGCACCCCTTTCGTTTCCGCCATGATGAAGAATGCTGCAAATCTTATCATGTCAACATTTTCATAAAAACTGCATAAAACTTGGACATGTCATCCTCATCATGATAACAACATCAAGAATGTTTAAAATGATGTTTGCTTATAATTTACCTAATGCCATGCTAAAATGCTTCATTTCATAACTAATTAACTGTAGCTCCAAACTTAATAAACTTTATATGTAAATGGGGTAGAAAAATGCCTAGTTTAACATGGTGACTTTACTTTGCATGTTTAATAACTCTAAAATTGTGTTTAGGGCAGAACAGTACCAAATCTATAATATGCTCATGAGGATTTTTCCGGACTTGTTGCTTGTTGTTCCGGCCTCATTTAATCTTGCCTAGATAGGTAGTTTTCATTTGCATCACCTCTTGGCATGTTAATCAACATTTAATATTGTAGGGTACATAAACGAGATCGAACTAAATAACTTGAATGTGGTGTTCCGTCAATATGCAACGGAGTTGCATATTGAGCTCCACATAACTTGTAGTATTGCTTGTGCACTTTGCCATGCCATGCATAATTAAACCGGACATGCATCATACTTGGTTGTGCATCATGCCATGTTTATGTGATGGTTGTTTACCATGCTATTTATTTCTTTCCGGTGTTGCTTCTTTGGGTTAGTTCCGATAACGTCGCGTTTGTGAGGATCTGTTCAACTTCGTCTGTTTGTCTTCTTCATGGACTCGTTCTTCTTCCTTGCGGAATCTCAGGCAAGATGACCATACCCTCAAAATCACTTCTATCTTTGCTTGCTAGTTGCTCGCTCTATTGCTATGCCGCGATACCTACCACTTGCTAGATCATGCCTCCCATATTGCCATGACAAGCTTCTAACCCACCTTTTCCTAGCAAACTGTTGTTTGGCTATGTTACCGCTTTCCTCAGCCCCTCTTATAGCGTTGCTAGTTGCAGGTGAAGATGAAGTTTGTTCCTTGTTGGAACATGGATACTGTTGGGATATCACAATATCTCTTATTTAATTAATGCATCTTTATACTTGGTAAAGGATGGAAGGCTCGGCCTTATGCCTGGTGTTTTGTTCCACTCTTGCCGCCCTAGTTTCAGTCATACCGGTGTTATGTTCCTTGATTTTGCGTTCCTTACACGGTTGGGTGTTATGGGGACCCCTTGACAGTTCACTTTGAATAAAACTCCTTCAGCAAGGCCCAAACTTGGTTTTACCATTTGCCTCACCAGAACCTACCCTTCCCTCGGCTCAGCCAACCCGAGGGTCATCTTTATTTTAAGCCCCCCGGGCCAGTGCTTGTCTAAGTGTTGGTCCGAACCGAGTAGACTGCTGGGCCACCTCAGGGAAAATTGAGGTTTGGTTTTACTCGTAGGATGTCTCATCCGGTGTTGCCCTGAGAACGAGATATGTGCGGCTCCTATCGGGATGTTGGCGCATTGGGCGGTCTTACTGGTCTTGTTTTACCATTGTCGAAATGTCTTGTAACCGGGACTCCGAGTCTGATCAGGTCTTCCTGGGAGAAGGAATATCCTTCGTTGACCATGAGAGCTTGTGGTGGGCTAAGTTGGGACACCCCTGCAGGGTTTTGAACTTTCGAAAGCTATGCCCACGGTTATGGGCAGATGGGAATTTGTTAATATCCGGTTGTAGAGAACTTGACACTTAACTTAATTATAATGCATCAACCACGTGTGTAGTCGTGATGGTCCCTTCTTGGCGCAGTCCGGGAAGTGAACACGGTTTTTGTGTTATGTTTGTGCGTAAGTAGTTCCAGGATCACTTCTTGATCACTACTAGTTCACGACCGTGCTTTGCTTCTCTTCTCGCTCTTATTTGCGTATGTTAGCCACCATATATTCTAGTGCTTGCCGCAGCTCCACCTCACTACCCTTCCCTATCCATAAGCTTAAATAGTCTTGATCTCGCGGGTGTGAGATTGCTGAGTCCTCGTGGCTCACAAATACTTCCAAATAGTTGCAGGTGCCGATGATACCAGTGCAGAAGATACAACCCAGCTCAAGTGGGAGCTCAATGAAGATCGTGTTCATTGTGTTGTTTCGTTTCCAGTTAATCAGTAGTGGAGCCCAGTCGGGGCGATCGGGGATCTAGCATTAGGGGTTGTCTTCTTTTATGTTGGTATATTTATGTATTGTGTGAAGTGGCGATTCTAAGCCAACTCTTTATCCCTTTCTTATTCATTACATGGGATGTGTAAATACTACCCCTCTTGCGGCATGCCTAACATGCGGTTATGCCTCTAAGTCATGCTCCGACACGTGGGAGATATAGCCGCATCGTGGGTGTTACAAGTTGGTAATCGGAGCCTTCCCCGACTTAGGAGCCCCCTGCTTGATCGAATCGCTGGCGTTGTTGAGTCTAGAAAAATGTTTTGAGTCTTATAGGATTATATATATCGGAGAGTAGGATTCTTTTTACTCCTCAATCTCTTCGTCGCTCTGGTGAGGCCTACTAACATAGAATTTTGACTCTTCTCTTCTCAAATTTCACGAAAAAAAAATTAGGATCACATGGGTATCTTGGAATCGTTCCGATGGTTTTGTGACGAGAACATTGTTCTTGGTGCCTCCTGACATTTAGGGATTGTGGCAGTGTCCTGGGGAGTTGAGCTCCGAGGTGTTGTCGTCACAATTTTATCGTTGCAGTTCTGGAATACCTGAGTTTCGCCGACATCGAAAATCTCCTTTATGTAGTTGTTGGTGAGATAACCTCGATGCCACCCAGTACTAGGGCGGGAGTTCGGGAGTATTGCCATAACTCGTATAACAGATGCTTTTTGAAGGTTGAGGTAAATGATTTCCGAAGGTTTCTTGGTTATGTGTTGAAGGATGGATACAACTGGATGTAGGATTTGCTTGTTTTGGGTGAGATATTATGCTTCCCCTGTATCCCAAACACCTGATTGCATAACCAGAATGTTTTGGGAGTTTATAACCAGAATGTTTTGGGAGCTCCTATCGGGATGTCGGCGCATCGAGCGGTCTTGCTGGTCTTGTTTTACCATTGTCGACATGTCTTGTAACCGGGATTCCGAGTCTGATAGGGTCTTCCTGGGAGAAGGAATATCCTTTGTTGACCGTGAGAGGTTGTGATGGGCTAAGTTGGGACACCCCCGCAGGGTTTTGAACTTCCAAAAGTCGTGCCCGCGGTTATGGGCAGATGGGAATTTGTTAATATCGGGTTGTAGAGAACTTGACACTTAACTTAATTAAAATGCATCAACCATGTGTGTAGTCGTGATGGTCCCTTCTCGGCGGAGTCCGGGAAGTCAACACAGTTTTGGTGTTATGTTTGTGTGTAAGTAGTTTCAGGATCACTTCTTGATCACTACTAGTTCACGACCGTGCTTTGCTTCTCTTCTCGCTCTTATTTGCGTATGTTAGCCACCATATATGCTAGTGCTTTCTGCAGCTCCACCTCACTACCCTTTCCTACCCATAAGCTTAAATAGTCTTGATCTCGAGGGTGTGAGATTGTTGAGTCCTCGTGGCTCAGAGATACTTCCAAATAGTTGCAGGTGCCGATGATACCAGTGCAGATGATACAACCCAGCTCAAGTGGGAGCTCGATGAAGATCGTGTTCGTTGTGTTGTTTCGTTTCGAGTTGATCAGTAGTGGAGCCCAGTCGGGGCGATCGGGGATCTAGCATTAGGGGTTATCTTCTTTTATGTTGGTTCCATAGTCGGACCTTGTTTGTATTCTAGATGATGTAATGCTATATTTATGTATTGTGTGAAGTGGCGATTGTAAGCCAACTCTTTATCCCTTTCTTATTTAGTACATGGGATGTGTAAAGACTACCCATCTTGCGACATGCCTACCATGCGGTTATGCCTCTAAGTCGTGCTCCG